TAGCTTGAAAAATAATACTGAGTGATACTAGAATTGAATCATTTTCTGCATCATTGAAGATTTGAGCTTTTAACATTTGAAAAGAACTTATGTAAATAGTTGATCATATAATAGATCATAACTTAATACTTTTAAAATTAAATTTTAATGGAAATCATTTACTAAATTCACGTTGGGTTTGTGTGGTAAGACACAAGTCAACGGCTTTAATTCGGTAATTTTTAAACCCTGATCTAATTTAGAATTTATATATGGACTGTTAAGTATTTAAATATTTCCAAAAATCAATGAACCAGTTTAAAATTTATTTGATTGAAAATAAATTATCTATAATGTTTTTTATATATTTTATATCCGGCTATAGGTCAACTTTTTGTTAAAATTAAACTTAAACGTCCTTTTAACATTTTTTTATATATTTTATATTCGACTCTCCTTGAGAGAAAATTTTTATAGTCGCACATTTTTCTTCACTATGAAATCTCATCTCTATGGGACAATATGTAGCTTGTCAAAACGGTACTAAATTATTTAAATTAATTTTTTTTTTAAATGAAATTAAAATAACCACCCATGAAGAGTTTAGATTCTCTCTATCTAGTAGAACGGATTCTTCACAATCTATTCTACTCCATTCTTTGTTTTCATTCTCCACTTTCTTACTCCAATTTTTCTATTGAATTTTTTAATTAACTGCAGCAACTATGAATTGTTATCTATGATATATTCAAAAATTTATATAATTTTGGGTCACAATTTTTTTTTAAGATTGTTATTGCACCAATATTTCAATAGGAGCGCAATCCAATAAACTAGTTGAAGAGGATGTAGAATCTAACAATTACCTTCTATGACTTTGGCCGGGACTACAGATAGCTTCCATGTCTAGGAGATCGCCTGATAGAATTAGCAAAATTAGACTTCTTAGATCTTTTAATCTTTTTTTGGAAACTTCAATGTTTAACAAGTATAATATATTCAACCATTTTGAAAGCATTGGTTAGTATTATAACAAGTCACTGATCGTGCTGACTTTTCAAACATTACTCAGCTCGTATTGAAGCCTAAAGCACAGCTAGTAAACTATCTGGAAGTGTGTCCATTCAACATGATAAATGATTCTTGCTCTGGAACTTCTACAATATCATTCTAATATGACTGAACAGAGTTACTGCATGACTTGATTTCCGAAAGGTATGACGACACACCATTCAGGCAAATTCATTTATCGACTATATGTCATACATAAACTAACAGCTTTAGAAATAAGGCGCTATATCTCCCTTTCATCCTACTGCTGTCGAACAGTCCTAAATACATCCATTTCATTACTGATGTCCGTTGTGCGAATATCGCTATTTTAAAACTTTTGGTGAAGATAACATATGTGTGAAGAAATCAAAATGTTTCAAATTTTCAGACCATTGGGAGAGTTATTATCTGCTTTAAAAGAAATTTGACTACCTCATTTCTAACTTCTAATTACAATTCCAAATACTACTACTTTTCTAATTATTTACAATTTACTTTAAAGCTTTTAGTTATAATAAGCTAATATCATAGACAGTTTCAATTTCCCGCCTTTAATTGCATTGAAATGCAATGTTTCTTTTAACTTCATAATTTTACTATTTGTTACGAGCTAACACCTTTCGTAGTACTTGCAAACCCATTAAATCGGGCTTAATTAATTTTTTTATTGGCTTTCGGCCAACTTCACACATAAAACATTTTAACAGAAGTTTTTTAGCCAAACAAATTGCATAAAAAAAGTGAGTAAAGACTTAATTTCGAAAAATCAAATAAAATAACGAACGACCCATTAAATTCACTTTATGCTTCTTCGAGGTCTCTGCAATACCAGTAACCGGCCACTTTTAATTGTAAATGTGCAATCACGGAATTATCTGCAATTTCTTTGGATGCAATTAAGATATTTGATTTTTTTTTCGCACTTTGCGCTTTCATAATAAAAAAGCAAAAACCCATTAACCCATTATTTTCGATAAAAATGAGGTGCAAACATATATGAGTTGTCCTTGAATCTATTGGAGAGATTAAATAGATTATTGAAATTATTTGTGTATGCCAAAAAAATAAAAATATGCTAAGTCATGTTTTGAAAATATCTTAAGTAAATATATTAAAATTAAATTTAACTTCGAAAAGAGGGTTGAATGGAAACATTCGAAATTGGAATTAAATATTCAAACCCTTTAACGCCAAATTAAATATCTCTATGTAATACATTTATATATTTTATATAAATATAGATCTTATAATATATATAAGATCTATATATAAAATATATATAATATAATATGTGTATAATATACAATATATATATAATATATACATATATATATATATATATATATATACATATATATATATTATTGTGATATTGTAGAAACATTTTAAAATACTTAGTTGACTGTAAAATATGGATCAGTAGTTCCTAACCTTTTTTTGATCAAGGACCACTATGATTTTTTTTTCAGTAGAGAGCTCAAACTTTAAGAATAATAGACTGTATGATTGTTTTCATATGCTTTTTATGCATTTCTGCTAAAATATATAAGGAATTGTATATGTACATAGGTACATTATGTAAGCTATTAAATAGGTATGTTGAAAAATAGGTTGAAAAACATTTGTGCTTATTTTTTTAAGAAATAAAATATATAGATCTTATAATATATATAAGATCTATATATATATATATCTATATATATATATATATAATATATACATGTATACATATATAATATATATATATATTATATATATCTAACATAGATATGTATATTTGCAAATTATAAAAATAGTCTTTTGTAGTTATATTACTTAGATTTGATTATATTAGATTTTTGCAGAGCAGCTTTGTCTCCCAGTGAGGCAAAGCTTCGCAAACAAGCAGATCTTTTAGCCCTAATTATATATATATATTCTTATATATTCTTTTAAATGAAGACCAAAATATTTTTTATTAAGGAGTTCCTAATTTCAAAATTCATTATAATATATATATTATAATATTAATATAATATATTGCCAAGTTCCATTTTAAATTCAAAAACTGCAGTTTAATTAATTAATTTAATTAATCAATTAATTTTTAAAAAAATTAATTTCTCAATTTATAATAATAAAAAACTAATTAACAAATACGTTTTTTTAATTTATATTAACGTTAATAGAATATAGAATAATATATTTTGGCAGCTATATGGCCAGCCAAAAAATCAATTAATTAAAATAATATTAAAAGAGTTTTTGTTGTTGCAGCTCACTATCTTTCACTTTCTCTCTACTAATTAAAAAGCACTATTATATAATTTCTATATATTGTCGTAGAAATTTAAGTACATGTATAATATATTGTCAAGTCTTCGAGCGATTTTCTAATAATTAAACGGCTCCAACAATATTTATTTTTTGATATATGGGTAGAAATCAGTTATGAAGTCTATAAAATTTCTATTACATTCTAATGAACACTGAATCTGAGCTTCAAATTTCGCAGGGTACGAGTTCAATCCCTCGTACCGTATGATCAGCCAAAAAATCAATTAATTAAAATTGAAATATTAAAATTAAAATATATATATATATATGATGAGTATTTGGCATTATTCAAAACAGCTATATGGCCAGCCAAATATTTAATTAATTAAAATAATATTAAAAGAGTTTTTGTTGTTGCAGTTCACTATCTTTTAATATTTTTCTACTAATTAAAAAACACTATTAAATAATTTCTATATATTTTATTTAAGTACATACATAACATATTGTCAAGTCTTCGAACGATTTTCTAATAATTAAACGGCTCCAACAATATTTATTTTTTGATATATGGGTAGAAATCAGTTATGAAGTCTATGAAATTTCTATTACATTCTAATGAACACTGAATCTGAGCTTCAAATTTCGCAGGGTACGAGTTCACTCCCTGGTACTGTATGATCAGCCAATAATTCAATTAATTAAAATAATATTAAAAGGGTTTTTGCTGTTACAGTTTACTATCTTTCAAAATGTCTATACTAATTAAAAAACACTATTATGTAATTTATGTATATTTTATTTAAGTATATATATAACATATTGTCAAGTCTTAGTGCGATTTTCTAATTTGGGCAGAAATCAGTTGTGAAGTCCATGAAATTTCTATTACATTCTTAACTTTATAATAATAATAAACTAATTAAAAAAGACAACTATATGATTTCTATATATTTTACTTAAGTTTCTAACATATAGTCAAGCCTTTTGCGATTTTCTAGTGCTTCAAAAGCGCTCTAACGTTTTTCATTTTCCAGTTCTCAAATAATTTTTTTTATCTAAATCAGTTGTTAGATCTCTAGAATTTTTAGTTCATACTATCTTTTAAATTCAATACAATTTTTATTTTTTTATTTAATAAAAAAAAAATTTTTTTTCTAATTTAAATAAAAAAACATTTTTTTCTAATTCAAAATGTATTTTTTGTTTACTTTGGCGAATTGCATGAATGCGTTTTTGCATTTTTCTGACTGCAGAGCTACTGCTGTCTTTACTGCTTATGCTTCTACTTCAGAAGCACTTAACCAAAGGTTAAGAAGATTTTTTGCTTCCGTTCTAATACTCGTTGCAAAATATTTCAATGAAATATTAGTAAAAAAATATTAAAACATATATAACGCATTAAATTCACAAAATATCATAGAAATTATAACAAAATAATAATTAAAAAAAAAAAATATTTTAATTTTTTTGTTTTAATTTAATTTTATTTTAATTTAAAAATTAAAATAAAGTTTTTTTTATTCTAATAAAATATAATAGTATTGAAGGAACTAAGAAACCAATCTTTAACATTCAAATTATTTTATTCCTTTGAAAACAATTCTTAATAAATTCATTTAATTAGATTTCTTTATATCCACCAACATATGCCACAAATTATCCTTCAAAAACTAATAAATAATAATAGTTTTATTAATATTATTATTTACCTTCTAAGTTAATTCCAAAGGCTTTAATTCGTGGCTTTCGTGGAACCACAAAACTTTAAATGTCACCGTCGTCGGTCGCACTGGGTTTATTCTGGAACTGCACCGCAACTCGCCGCAGCCATGCAACAAACTTTGCGGCAAGGACAACAGTCAAACACGCACCAACTTTATTAATTAATAATTAATTATTTTACTATAATTATTTATTTAATATTGTTTACTGAAATGGTGCACACAAAACAAAACTTTAATCAATTTTTGACCATTTTTTTGTGAATTTCTATGAAATTTCTGTGAATTTTTATAGATTTTTTCTTTCAAAAATTTATTTCAAAAATATTTAACACTTAAACGCTTTATGCAATAATCTTTACAAAATATTTGCTTATTTTTAATGTTAATTTTAGTTATTTTAATTTTATAACTTTTTTTTTGGTTACTGCTTTCGTTTCGAAAATGCTTTGGAGAGCTACGAAATAAGTCGGTTGAACTCCGCGACGTTGTCCGAGCAAATGCAAAACTTTGCGGCAAGTCTCAAACTTTTATAAACATTTTTTTTTTGGATTTTGGTCAACCAGCCAAACAACGCATAAAACAAAATAAACAAAAAAAAATATTGGAAAAAAATATATTTTGTTGAAAAAAAGTATAAATGACGATTTAGTTCGAGAAATGCGCTCATAACTAAGCTGCGCTCAAGGCAGAGCAGCGCAAGTATCAGCGGTACACTCCATTACTTTGCAGTAGTCTACCGTGTGCTCTGCAGTGGAGAGATGAAATCTACGAAAAATCGAAAATCGAAGCAACACTAAAAACAGATTTACGAAAAAAGGGCAAAGCAACGTAACTAGCACATGCGTTTCGCGTTGCGCTATGCACAAAGGGAAAGGGCACAATAAATATGGATGATCTCTTCAATCTTTGAGATCGAATGAGTTTAGTACTTTCCTCTTAAAACTGGTTGTTGACAGCTATGCTCTTTTTGATTGATAAATTTGGAATATCGAAATTCACTTTTAATGCAATTTTCATTTTCGAAAAATGTGTTAACGAATAATATGTCGAGTGAAATGTACAACACTTCAAACTGCAGCACTCTAGATATTTGACCAGTGTTTAGTACCCTAAGATGTGAGATAAACTAACTTGGCTGACGTTTGATCAAATATAACATTTAGTAAAATATAACACTCGCAAAAGATAATATAGGCCAAAGATTAGAATGACCACTAAGACCAAATAATGACGATGATGAATTAACTTGTAATACGTATATCATCCACAATATCTATTCTAAAATTTAAAACTAAAGAATAGGCTTTCAAAAACACTCCATATCGTATTAAGCAAAGAACAAGGAGATGTACTTTTTGCACTAATATACGTATACGTGTAAAATCTGGTGCTCTATTGCGAATGATATCGATGAAGATGGAACTATAGTTAATAAGCCAATACAAATATGTAATTGTACAGACAATATTTTAATCATCACATTCTTATACTGAAGTATTTAAGTATCTTCAAAAAATTTTAAAAAAATGCTTAACATCATTTACTTAAGTAATCGCATTTATCACCTTCGGCTGATTCTAATATGACTATACTTTTACCCACTATTACTAGGAATTGTGGAATTAAATCGGCTTTCTTATCTAATTGAAGACGATTTCTTCCTCCCTCCATTTCACCTGTCCAAACCTAGCTACTAAAGTAATTGCGTATGGTTAGGTTAGTATGACAAAAGTGGGTCAAAACGTCGGTAGAACGCCGAGTTAGTAGCTGGCGACTATCTGTCGAGAAATGATCTGGTGACTTAAGAATCTGTCAAAGATTTCAACTGCTTTAACACTGCCGCAACAAACAAGAGCGATGAACTACCTAGAGATCAGACGCAGAATCATCATACCAATAGATGTAAAGTTGTCTCTCTCGACAAAGAAGACTTACGCTTTACAGGTTGCTTAAATGTGTGGCACAGAAGTATGGACGTTATTACAGAATAATAAAGAGAAGTGAAAAGAGAGATATGCTGCATCTAGTCGAAACTCGCTAACAGGTTATTATGACTATTTAAGTCAGTAAGTAGATTGATTTGGTTGGTTATACCATGTATGCACTGTTAACGATAACAGATAGAACTAAATCAACATTTGAAGCATGTATTTAAAATAAATCTTAGTCGGGTTTGAGGTCAGACCCACCGTCTAATATATTTGGCATATACGCGTATACTTTTTAGATGTTGCACGGATACATGCTATAAAATATGAAACCTTAGACTAAATATCTGTTGATATGGATACCAGTTCTGTATAATATATATGATTGAATCTGTTCTTCCATGGCATATCATTCAGATCGCTGAAAGCATTAAAATTAGCATTATACTATAGTTCCAAGGATAAAGTACTTACAAGTATTTCCTTGAAACGTCACTGTATTATAACCAGTATATATATAACCAATTCAAGAAATTAGAATAAGGATATAATGAAGAAAGGGAATATAGATAAAATAAAAGCTAACAACGGCATTAATATCAGCACCGTTAATTACAACTGCGATCGGAATATAAATTTCTATTGAATACAACCACATTAATATTGTTAACGTTGAAAATAATTCTATGAGTAGGGGATCTGTATGTTGGCAAAGCCAAATGCAACTTCATTTTTATCAATCTTACACTTTTTGCTCACTAAGAAAAGTTTCTTTTTTTTAAATCTCAATTTCTTTCCCTACGAGAGTCGCTTAAGATATTCAAAATTTATTTTACACATTTTTTTGGCAGTAAATAATGAATTGAGAGATTCGCTGAAGCCGATGTAATAATCACTCGTCTTCAACTGCACCATGGACCATGGACTGTACCATGGACACACACGCGAACGAAGCAGAATCAAAATACAGAATACGGGTTCAGTCTTAGTCGCATTTGAACTTCAACTCAGGTTCGGATTGTTTTTGTTATTGACAACGATGAGTGTCTTTCCAATGTTAATCAACAAAAAAAAATTTGAACATTTTTGGTAATTAAATCTGAGACTGTCGTTGAGGCGTCTATCCATCTAATTGTTTGAATGCATGTTGCAAACTGAGCTTTTGACTACTTCACATGGAAGCTGGACAGCAGTCGCGTCTAAAGAAATAAAAATCCGGTGGCTTATGGCTGTTTTATCTGCGTTTACAGCTTCAGCGGCAAATGCATTAATCTTCTTGTCAGTTGGGTGTTGCGTATTGAAGAGATGGATTGAGTTAAGTTAAGGTCAGCCAAGATAAGGTACACTTGTTTGTAAATGCAAATGCAGGTAGAAAATTTGAAAGCCCTTGAAATTTTGACTATGACACTGCATCAAGTGAAGAGCATCCATTAAAGTTTACATAATTTACATTAATTATTAGTCATTGAATAATTTTAATAAGTGCATAATAGAGAAAAATAGATTATAAATAATATAGAAAAAACAAATAACAGGAATTACGAGTTTTTAGGGAATATAAACAATATCATTATATATATGATTGTATATATATATTGAAATAAAAAAAATAACCATTTATATTAAATAAATGGTTATCTACTTCTTGAGAACCCTTTCAGGTATGGTCTTATTTATTCAGGTCTTACTTAGGTCTTATCTAGATCTTAATTTGGTATACTCTTTGAGTAGTATATGACAAATAGAACTGTTATGAAAAGCATTGTATTTTTAATTTAAAGTTTGTCATTAAATAATCTAAATCATTTAACAACCGCTGAACATATTAAAAGTGTGGAAATTTACTGCAAAAGTGATGATTGTGTGATAACCCTGTACTGATTCTGTGAAAGTGCAATGAGAGTCTGCAATGATTTTCACTATTGTGAAAAGGCTGAATGGGAGAGGCTTGCGCGGTATTCCAGTTATAGCGCCAAGGGACAACAGGTTTTCGTAATAAATGTCAGACCTGTATAGTTGAGTTTTTTTTAGTTGAAATGTCGTCTTCTATTTACTTCTATTAGTTATAGATTTTAGTTAGATTTTCTTCTTGACAATTTAATTCTTCCAAATTTTTCTAATAAATGGCAGGTGTAGTTAAAGAAGGTACTTTGGTTCGATATCAGAACCCAATATTAAAAAAGACTGAGACTAAAAAAGACTAAGACTCTTATTGATTCTTATTTTCTATTAGTAGAGTCTCAACTGTAAGTTGGTTTCAATGGAGTTGAAGAAAGTGCTTTAATAATAAATGTTATACCCCAATATTTACAATATTAGAAATTGGAAAGTGGTCCTTTGTTCAATTTATTAGTTATAGAAGAAGTTGATTTCAAAACCTATTGTTTGTTTTTTTTTTTTTTGAAAATGGTATTCAATTTGATCTAATTAGTTTTAGATTTTAGTTAGACTTTCTTCTCCACAATTTAAATCTTCCAATATTTTTCTAATAAAACGCTAGTCATTTTAAAGAGATGAGGGAAGATGCTTTCTTAACAGCTATCAGACCCCAATATTAAAATTTTTTAAATTGAAAAATTGTTTTTGATTAAACTTTATTATTCGTAGACTATAAGTAGATTTTCTTCTTGACAATTAAATTCTTCTAAGGCGTGTGGAAACGCTGCTGTGTTAATATCACTAAAAGTATTTTTTTATAACATTTTTTTAAAAAAATTTTTCAGTAATGAATGAAGGAATGAAGTATATACTTTTTAGGTAATCAGGCCAATCTTCCTCAAAGCATTGACTCAACTTCATTACAATTGAAACTGGTTAGTTCCAAAACAAATTGCTCAGCATATTCAGTAGCAGCACAACATGTGCTCTATCTTCAGCACAGTGACCTGTAAAACGAAGTGATCAAGGACACAAATCCTGTATTTCTATAAAATAAATTAGTTGCAGAATGAGTAATTATATAAATGTGATATTGTTTATAAAAAAACAACTACTCTGCAACAATGAAAGTTCAACAACCGAAAAACCTTAAAAATCTGTAAAACTACAAAAACGTTTATGTCTTCATGTTTACCGGAAGAACTGTGGTGTTTTGTGCGATCAGCGGTAATTTATGGGTGTGTCACACTTAATGTAACGAACGGCGATGTCCTTGCTTTATTTATTGTTTATTCGAAATAAAACTTTTGCTGGCAAGTGAATCTTACAGATTCAGTTTGCAGTGACAAATAGTTCCCACACGATTTTGTCGCATTTTAAAAGGTAAATAAAATGGTTTTTATGAGTACCCTTTTTTATGTCATCACTGACTGCAAAAAAAAAATATATAACTATAAATGAAAAAAATAAATAAAAAGTATATTTATACTTTAATTAACTATGTACCTTCACTTCTTATTGAAGTTCAAAAGACAAAGTGTTGGCAAATTGATTACTGGATGTCAGTTTAAATATATCAAATAATATAATCATAATGCTATAAAATTTTTTTTATACCTATATGTATATATATAATTTTTTCTAATTTTTTTTGTTTATGGTAATTTACTTTAATATGCATTTATCAGTAATATTTTTATTTTGTGATCCAAATTTATTTACATAATATTAATAGTTTTCTTATCTTTACATCATAACTGATACTGATAATTTTTAATATGTATTATCTTAATGTCTTTAATAATAATAAGATATTGTTATAATTAATATATTTAATATGTGAATCCATAATTGTGAATAGATGGACAGAAATATACTTAGGTTAATAAAAAAATAAATAAATTATAGTCTTAATATGGAAATATTCATTAATTTGTTCAATAATTAAAAAAATTAATTTCTTTTCAAGAAACTGTTTTAGTATTAAAAAACATAAAATCAAATTAAATTTATTAAATTAATTTAAATTAAATTGATCTTTAACGTCCATTTTGGCTTAAGAAACTAAATTCTTAATATAAAATATTTTTTTCAATAGAGAGGATTTTGTGGAGCAACAAAAAAAAATTTTTTGAATATTTTTAATTAATTGAATTTTTGGCTTACCATTAATTAAAATTAAATTTTAATTTATAAAAAACTATTTATTTTGTTTTTTAATTGCTATTAATATTAATAAAATATTAAAATGATTTATTTTAACAAAATAATACATTTTCTACATAATTGCTACAAATAAGTGAAAACATAGAAACATTTCCATATTTTCAACAGTGTGTGCGATGATAAACATAGAAATTATTAATTCCTATTAGCAAAGACATGAACCCATTATTCCTAACTATTGGTATAAATTTGCTAATATATGATAAAATTGGTTTAATTCTGTGCTATTCACTGCTATTGTAATTCTTCTTAGTTGGCAACGCAATAGATTTCAATCGGTAAATATTTTAGACTTAATTTGGGTGTCAATTGGTCACAAGGAAAAATCATTATATCTAATACTCTCACCACAATGTATAAACTGCAGTACCGACTTTTCGTTACAAACTTGAAAAAGTGTTGTAAGACTTTTATTAAAAGTTCTCTATACTATTTTATATGATGAACAGACATCTCTTTACTTATACTATTATAATCCGTTGATTGTTTTATTACAATTCTTAAAAATATAGCAATTTTACTAATTAAATGTTTCGAAATTGGCTTTTATGATAAATTGCAATAAACACAATATTTGACAATTACAAAATAAATATTTACATAAACAAAATGTTATGTTTTGCATTTATTTCTGATTTAATTCTATTTTATGTTTAAACCAATAACGCTTTTTTATATATATTTCAAATACGACACTGTGTTTTGAAGTCAATATCTCTAAAGAAATTCACTGAATTCGATCTGAATATTCAAATTAAAAATTATTGTTTATTAAATTATAAAATGAAATTAATTTATAATAACAATTGAAATTGATTTTTATATTATTATTATAATTATTATTTGTTAATATTATTTATTTATTAATGATTCAAATAAATTCATACAACACTTACAAAAAATTATAGAAATTTTAAGTAAAATTTACAAAATTATTAATTTATATATTTATTTATAATTTATATTTATTTATATGTTGTGTATCAGTAGATAAAAAAAAATTGATATATCTCGTAACTAACAATATTTATAGTACAAATGTTATACCAACTTATAATCTTCTTACTAATATACTCCACCCATCTCAATTTCCCATCGACCAGCTTAATATTATATGGTACAAGCCTCCACAGTTCCTGGCCCTTTATCTGAACGATAACGTTTGCAGTTTTGCTATGATTCCGCTCTACAATTGTGGTAACAATAACTTCTTGCACAGACTGTCCTCTATGTAAAAAAAATCCTTCCTTTATAAATTTATAAAAAAAAAATTAAAAAATCTTTTATAAAGTATAATAAAAAACTATAAAATAATATAAAAAAAAATTTTTTATGAAAAAATATAAAAAAAAAGTTCTATAAATAGGGAGGAGATTTCCATTTTATTTCTTGTAGATCACAAACGGAGATTTACATGTATTGTTTTAATTTAAACATTATCAGTTTACATTTGTGTGGTGAAGTGGAAAGTTAAATTTCTACTTTATAAAGTATAAATATGAGTGAAAAGTGAAAATAAATTTCCTTGGAACAAAAGGAAATTGGAGGTAGTACCTCCAACTACTTTAAGAACAATTTATAATCGGGATGCGAACAATATAAAGGACAATGAAAAAGCTGTCACACAATTGCCGCCCAAACAAGTTACAAAAAATAAAAGTTGATTTATTGTAAAAATGGAGTCCTTTCTATCCAATTGGATAGAAAATATGATTCAAAAAAGAATGACATTGAGCCAAATACTAATTCAGAATAAGGCTCTGTCGATATTCAATGAGTTAAACGGTAATTTTAAATCAGCAATAATAAAAAGAAATGTAAAAATTAACCAATAAGCTTTTATTTTATATTCACTTTAGCTCTCAATTAAAAAAAAATTTAATTTAGTTGCTTGAATTTTTTAAATATGATATATACAAATAATTCACTCTTTATACAAATAGTTCTGTCTTCAAATTTGACAACAGATGTTTTGGGGATTTTCCATTTGTAATGACATAAAAGAAGCAACACTGTACGTTCATAAATTCGCTGCGCCAAGTAATGAACCACAACACAAATGCAACACTACTCTTGCCTTCATTCATCAAATATGGCTGCTAGTCGTCGGTGGTGTCAAGTGTTTTTCTTTTCTACCTGCTAAAGATTTGTGAATTTGTTGTGGAAAAACACTTAAATAGTAAATAAAAACTATTTTAAAATATACATAAAGCAGTAGAATATTATTTGAAATAATTTAAAGAATTCGTGCATATTCAATAAAGTTGTAATTTGTAAAAAAGTTCTAACGCAAAAATTTTTGGCAAGCAGCAGCAATAAAAATCGATTCTTCAAGCAGAAAAAAAAACAAGTTAAAAAATTTAAACCAAAAAAGTTTTATGAAATTTGGCAATAAAGTTGATTTATAAGTCAACTTGATTTTAATATAATTCAGAAAATTATACAATTGCAATATGTGCAAATTTAAAAATTATTGTTTGAAAATTCCTTTAATTTTTTTAATACAACGACTTCCTTGTTAAAAGCAAAAACACAAAAAAAACGACAAAAATACCAACACTAAAATTCACATACACACATGCGCCCCCCTCAACTCACAACGAAGGCACAAAATAATATATGAAATCAAAGTGTATTCCTGTTTAAATATTCTAAATGATTTAATCTAACGCTAATTTTAAGTCAATATTAATAAAATAACATTTTTGTATTAAATATTAAAGTAGATTTAATTATCGCTTCAACTGCGTATTTGTGTTTATTTTAAGTGTCAGGGTGAACAAACAAAAGCGAGGAGTTATGCTTTTTTTGTTGTGGCAAATGTAAATTAAATAAATATTCAATTAGATGTGTGTGCACATTTGTTATTAAATCAGTGAAAATTTTGTGTAAATATATAAAGTGCATTTTTGGGGGAGAAACGAAATATACGAGTTGATCTCAATTCTCGAACAACGAATCGAAGCAAAAGCAACAAAAATTAACATCAGCACCTACTACATTCCTCCTTCCTCCCTGCAACGTATTTTCTAGACTACGCTAACGCTTAATTGTCTTCGCTTTCGCCTGTCACCTTTCATGGAGCACCGCACCAAGTCAACAAACTGAAACGAAATATTCTACAAAAACAAAAACAATAACTTGTGTTGTTTTTGCCATCACAATTAATTAAGCAGAATTTTTATATTGTGCATGACGTTTTGATGGTCGCGGATTTTACTGTTTACTGCTGCTCCTGAGTCATCCATCCATTCCCTGTTGTAACCTGCAACAAGCCGTTCCCATATGTATAGGCAACGTTCGTAACGTTCTCTATTAACGAAACAAACGAAATCCAACAACTCCAACAACAAATTCATAAGTCGTCAATTGGAGGAAATTTAACAGACACTTCAATTCCACTTCACTTAGCAGTGGCAGCGGCAGCGGCAAAAATATTTTAAACACGAAGCCTTGCAAAGGACATAAAAGGCTAACACCACAAACAGCCGAGTATTTACTTAATTTTATTTTTTCTATTGTATTATATTTATTGTTGCTTTGTTGCTGGTTCGTGCTCTACTAGTTTGTTTACTCGTCATAACGTGCAATAAAAAGGTTATAAAAACTTTTTACATTATTCGCTGTGCTGTCAGTGGGAAGTGGGCTGGAAGTATTTTGAGAAAAGTGGACAAGCTCCACAACTTCGAGTCTTTTCTAGTTGAAATTTAAACGGAACACAAACACCACAACACAAAATGTCAACCGATAAGATCAAAGTCGCCGTGAGGGTGCGACCCTTCAACCGTCGCGGTAAGTTCACAGATTTTTATTCAATTTTCTATTTTTATAAATTTTATTCTTTTAAAAATATGTATAAAAGAGTAGTAAATAAGTTAGTTAAAAGGTTTATATTGTCTTGAATTCAATTAAACCGGAAAAAATTAAATTCATCACAGTTTATGTCGAATTATACTTAAACTTCATTAGACCATATAATTCAATAGGTGTTGTAGGTTAGGTTAGGTTTACCGGCGATCCCTGGTGGATCCACTTAGGCCTATCCATTGTGTTACTAAATAGGTGTTGTAAATAAAAAAATTAAAAGCTAGATGGCGCTAAAAATTTTAAATACAAGTTGTCAAGAATGCTAGCAATGAGAGAATATATTTCACTTAACTCTTTTTATTATTTTTTCTAATATTTGTCATTTTCCCTGTTATTCCTATAAACTATTTGTTTCAAAATACTACAAACAACTTACCACTAACTTACAAATAGTGGATGACCATTTCATCACCAAGATCATCCCAAAGATTTGGAAATATATCTTAACACCTATCGATCCAAACATATGGTGATCTTTAAAGTAGCGTTTCAAAACACATTCAAACTGTTCGGAGTTCAAGCGTTTTATGTTCAAATTATAGAGCATTTTCTAAGCATCGAGTATTAAAGTGTTCGAAGATTTTAATGCCGTTTTCGAATGGTAAATCAGGGGTTACATTTTTAATCACTTTTAGATTCACTTTTAGTGCAATTTACATTTTCGTTTGATAAATCTCGAGCGATATGTATAATAATTGAGATTAATTTATAACATTAGATATTTGCTATAGTAGCAAGATTACCCTTGAATTAAGAACTGTTTTATATGACTTGACAAATAAAGTGTGATTTGATTCAACGCATGTATTTATGATATATACAAATGTCTAGTAATAATAAGATTGAAATAATTAGTTAGATTACTCTAAAAACATTCGAATTGGCAACAAAATTTGACAGATTAAGAGTAAATTTATATTAAATCCAGATTTACCAATCCAAAACGCAATAATATTCGGAGGGTCCAGAAGTTTCGTCTTCTCAGATTCGAGCAACTTAATGTTTCCAGGTTCAAGCATTCTCGTGTTCGAAGATGTGTTCAAGTCCCAATGTGTTCACTAACTGAAGTCGAATTGATCTATGTTACCCTCCTCATTGATTTGGTTGATTTTCTCCGCCTTCCCCCAGGTTAACTTCATTTTAAATCCTATCCATCCCCAATGCATTGCTGCATCTAAACAATCCTCTCCCCTGTCAAATTAACATCACCCACTCACATCCCAATCCATGTAGATCTCTTTGTAATTTTTTTCATGTTATCTGTTTGATAGATCTTCGCTAATTACAACAATAACAATATATTCGAACACCATATGATACTTTAGTCTTTCCATAAAACAAAACGAAAATGAAATAAAACAAATCAAAACACTATATTGTGTGCAAGTAATTTGCTCTAATCGTTTTTGTATAAAACAAAATAAAATAAATCGGAAAGTAGGTTTGTTATATGCGTTGTTCGAATAATTTTAAGTAGCTCAAACATTTTCGAACATTTGAGGTGGTCAATCCAAATGACCGAATTCGAGCATATTTCGAATATACAAATATAGTAAATTATATATAGTAAATATAAATTGTACTTAAATGTTTTCAATAACATTTGTCCATACTCGTGGAGTTCTTAAAGACTGGATATGTTCATATTTTGCACAATGCCTATGCCCAAGTAAAAATCTGGGTTCTTAGAACACACCTGTAAATTATAAAAAAAGTATACATTATTTTTATTTAATTCTCAATAAATAATTAGTTTGGAAATATAAGTGCTTAAAAATTTAGTTCAAAATAAGGAACTTCTTTACCCTACTCACCTTACTTTCACTACGTCCTTATTCGAAAAATGTGTTTTTAGCAGTATGTATACATACACAAGATATCTGTGTCGAGCTGTATTAAGAGTTCTGTCATTACTAAAAATAAATATTGCAATCCCATATACCACTACAGGTGTGTGATTAATATCATAACTTCTAGTTAATCTCTATAAACTGTTTTTTTTATTGTATTTCTGATATAAGAAGTGACGGTCTACAGTTTTCAAATTATGACTAATTGTCTTTTTTTTTGTTTTTTGATGTTTAGAGAATTTTTTTTTGCATATTCAGAACTACGTGACATATAGAGTAAAGTCCGATTTAGTTAAAACCGAACATGTTATTAAAGCTGTGACACCTGTTTTTTTACATATAAAATATAGAGTAGCTTATATATAAATTAAAATTTATAGTCTATTAAGAGTTGTAACAAAATTATTCCTACAAGAAAACAGAAAGTAAAATATTAATTGTCTTAGGGTAACCATAGAAATGATTCCGGTACCGTCAAATAATGATCATTAATAATCTTTGAAAAAATTTTTTGGTTTAACTGCCGGTATAAATTATCAGGACTCCATGTGGCAGGAATTGATTTTGTTAAAAATAAGATTATAGATTTCCGTTTCAACACAAAAACACAACGTAGGTATACTTAATTTTTTGGACTTGTTTCACTATTACCCCCTTTGATATTCGAAAAAGATTTCTTGTCATAGGGCACAAATCATTCGTAACAGAAATTGAAAATAAAAAGTTTTGTACTTAAAATAAACAATAAAACTCGAAACCCCTCCTTTTAAAAAATAGTTTCTTTGGGCATATATTTGTATACATAATTCTAAACATAATCTATACAATATAGATTTCAAATTTTTTCTATATTTAAAAGTTAGAAAAAATTAAAATAATAATAAACAATAATTGCATTTCTACAGTTAAGAAAATAATACAACATGCTTTGAACAACCGTCTTTAGTTATAGTTGACTTAAAGTTAAATTCAAATGAAATATTTTCTTAGTTGATAAAAAAGCGATTTCCGTTAAAAGTATTTTACGCCAATAAATACGATTAGATATGCTTTAGATTAATCAATTTTGTAGAGAGCATTACTCAAGTTTGATATAACTAAAGTATTCAATATATGAATCTACAATTAAAATTAACAAAATGTTACCTACCAACAACATATAAATTGTTAAGAACTATATATAACCACGTATATCAAAAATTCACTTTACTGTAGACAACAAATGTCCTAATCTATTTATATATAACTTTAAAGGAGGTATAATTTTTATTCATCAAGTAGAATGTACTGGTCATTTGTATGTTTTAGTCTGATTTAATATATGAATCTTTTGGAGAACATTAACAAAAACAAAAGTGATTGCTTTATAAAAAGCTAACCATTCGTATCCTAGGGGAGAAAGATATGCAATATAATCAATATACTATACACTGCAATGTTCTCAAAGGTGGATATAGCCTTCGGCGCAATCCTGACTAAAGCACTGATGCTGGCTAGAATTAGAACCTAATTAAAAGAAAAGCAGTACCTAGGTTATTTAACCTAGAACTATCTTCCTTTATTGAATATAAATATTTTGCCTATCTAACTTATTACTTATGCTAGATATTGCTGTTCTCATAATATATATAAATATCCCAATTATTTTATTAAATTATAAGAGCATGTGCTTTTTGCACATTGAGCCATTGAATAAGTTTTATGTTAGTTCATTGTCTATACATCTTCTTTGTTCTTTAAAAGCTATCATTACCAACCCAACCCACAAAACAATGAAAAAATAATTTTTTCGCATGTTTTTTTTTCCACTTAATGTACTCAAAAAACTTTTTATGTTGTTCAATTATAATATTAATCCAATATATTAAGATTAAAATCAGTCCTACTTAACACATCGAAGTATCTTAATTCTATTTAAAGCGTTTCATTGTATTTTCCGTAATTGATAGAATCTGTCGATGTGCATTTACATTGCGTGTGAATATCGCAATTTCTTTTATTAAAAACACATGAATCAAGCAAATTATTTATTTATTTTTTTTTGTATCAACAAAAGTTGTTTTAAGGCTTTCCTCGTAAAATTATTGGCTAAAAGGAAGCTCGTATAAAAAAATGTAAATATAATTGAGTTTCTTTAATTGGGGTTTACTTGTAAAAAGCTTTTTCATTTATATATATTCATTATTGCAATTGGTTTTTGTTTATTAACTGGGGATTCGATAAAAAGAGAACAAGCAACTCAAGCATAAATAATTTTTATTTTTTCTTAACTATAATGTTGTTAAATGAAATGATTAAATTGGTTTTGACATGTTTAGGCTCTGTTTTTAAGAGCCTAAGCTTTTAAGAATATTTTTTGAGATTTGCTTACGTGATTACAGTTCTCTGGTTCGCAGTAACTTTTTTTTTTTTTTATTTAACTATATATCTTTATTGAATCGCTTTAAATTAAAGCCTAACAAAAAGTTTTAGAATCTTAAAGACTAATAACATTACATTACAAATTATTTTATATAAACATACCATAATGATACATATAATGATTTGTAAATTATTTCAAGGG